AATCAAATCTTAACGTTTATTTCTCTCCATTCCTTTGGAATTTAGAATCACCGGTGGGTTTGGCGGATACCATGTAGATGCGTATTCAAGGCAAGCTGTCGTCAGGGAGACTCACTAATATGACTCGCAAATGGATTTGGGAGCTCTTATAATGTAATGCAACGTGTGGCATGATATTTCTCGCAAAGACCCAGAAGCCAGCGCCCGACGCGCTCCGTGGAGCGATTTCATTCGCTGCCGCCTGACAAAATATTGTCATAATTTGACTATCAATAGCATGTTTCCCTAATAAGGGCTTGAAATCGGACCACAAGTTGCAAAGGCACGGTTTTTGGAGACTTGCAGTGGGGCACTTTACTTCGTCGTAGACATTACTGTGTAACGTGTATCCCGTGTTCCAACCGCATGCGTGACTTTTGGCCGAAACTTATCATAGCTGTGATTGGTCAAAGCATTACGGGGCGGGGCTTACTGGATCGAAGCAAATGGGTACAGTTCTAGAGTGTTCACGCTTTTGTGAGGCATCACGTGTTTTTGCTCACGTGGGCAGCGTGTAGTGGGCGGAGCCGGCCTACTGAGGCCGTAAATCAGGCAGAGTATTTTACCGTTGTATGTGACGCTGCATTGGATTGAAATCAACTAGAATGAAAGAAACTAAACCCTTTATTTTCATTTCATAGCCAGATATTTATTTGCAACAGAATACCTCCCCCGCCTGAACTCACCAATGAAAGGAAAGAGTGCATGTGACTTCAGAACGTCACAATGTCGAAGAGAGACTTTTGCAGATTGGCCCAATGGGCGCTATACTGCCCATCTTTACACGACGTCGACCTGGCATATACATGCATTGCTCTTTCTGTGACGGGACATAAACATCTCGAGAAGTGGAAATTACAAATTTGGGTCTATTGGATCCATTGCGCCAATTGCAACTCCTCAGCCTCCTCCCCCAAAAAATTCCTGCACATCAAAACCCCACCCATCCGCTTTGAAAACTCTTGGATCCATCTCTGCATTGCTGTACACAGCAATGGAATAGAATAAATGGCAAAACTTAGCCCACGTTAAGTTGAAGCTTGACCATTCGCGATCCTGAGGTTGGGGTATCGTTTTTAGTGCAAAACATGACATAACCGTGTAAAATGTTAGGTATCCCAGTTGCATATTAGGTCATAGTTTTTCATGTTACGTCGTATGCCTTTCAACGAACTTGGGAACGGCAGTGTTGCCGAAGAGGAGGTGTATTAGGGAAATACATTCTGGGTAGCTTCGCACATGCTATAATTAATCACAAAGTCATAAAAAGCCCGAATAAATTGTAAATTGTAGTAGGCCCCTAACTAAATGTGCGTTAGTACATGAATAAATCAGGGATGATTTAATGATACTGGATGGAATCGTAGTCAAACTCGCTCCGTGAGAAAAATGAAAAAATGGGTCATCTTTGGAAATGTGGATACAGTGTCGTTGGGAACCTAATAATGTGAGGGCGCTCTGCATGCTGGCTGTTACTAAAAACAAATGTCTTAAATCACAAGAGAGCGCCTTTCCGGTCATCCACTGAACTGCTTTCTGGGGGGAAAACAACCAGCGCTAAAACTTTTGAAAAGAAAAACATCAAAGAAAGCTTGCCTGGCTAGGAGTTCGGAGTATCATTGAGTTCGTCCTTGTGGCTCATATAGCTCCGGGAGTTGAATCAGCCGAGATACAGCAGGTGTGTAGACCTTGCTACTGACCCTGACGTTGACACTCAGGGCACGGCCAGAGAAAGTTCCGGTAACTCTGTGGTTAGGAGATTTATTTTCATGTCATGGGAAATCGTCATACAATCAAACATAAACGACCAAAGCAATAGTGTTTAAATCGCAAAAAAATACAATCCCAATGAAAGTCAAGTTTCATGGAGAACAAGTGCGAGTGCACAATGAGCCCTGGCTACGGAAGCTTGAATTGCCTTCCGCGATACCGCGTTACCGTGATAATTTATCACAGAAATCCGGAATTCAACGATAATCCCTTCCTCGATAACGCGTTACCGTGATAATTTATCACAGAAATCCGGAATTCAAAGATAATCCCTTCCTCGATACCGCGTAAAACAAAAACCTTCATCATCCCTGTCCCTTAAGGGGTTCCATACAAATTGCTGTATACACAGAAATTCAGTGACCGTAAACTACGCGACCGGGAACCAGTTTTACCGTGGTGGAAACGAGGGGTTTCCCTCCTCAGCCCCTGCAGCAATTGTATTCTAATTTTATTGCCGAGGTAGGAGTTCAACAATAGTGATCGATGAATTGGAAAAGAGAGCCAAGATTTAACCATGGAATCTAAATAAATGGGTTAAAATACATTAGTTTATTAGGCGCCCCCCAAAAAAAATACTCTGTCTGTTTTCAGCACGTGCGTCGATTTTTATCAAGCGCGTCAACCTGTTTTTGTTCTTCAAATTAACACGGAAGCTACAACAGCGCCCTCTATTGCCGCACCTCCTCACATTTTTGTACCAAGGAGCACCAAGGAATGGGGAAATTGCACCAAGGCAAATGATAAAGGGCACCAAGGCGAATTATGGAGGACACCAATGTATAATGAGGACACAAAACCAAAATACTACCTACCTTGTCTGTACAATTCAAACTTGAAAAAAAAAATCCAGAACTTCGGTCTGACTAGAGACAGACTATTTTTATATTTTTTTGGCCTTATCGCATTTTTTTTCTCGCCGGGGACCAGAAAATCGGGGACACTGGCATCGATTGCTTTATAAAGAGATACAAAGAACATAACTGATTGCGTGCAACGGCTGACATCGAGGTTTGCCCTTTTCTATTCAAGGGTAGCGGAGCTTTACATATTTCTGTTTAGCTACTTGTGTAATTTGCAAGGGTACTTTTCTTAAACCCTCAATTTGTAAGGAGTGGAAAGCACAAGGTAAGTTCCCAATGACTATATTCCCGAGAGAGGGGAAAATACCATGACAAATACAGGGGGGGAAAAGAGAAATGAAAAGTAAACCTATTCAAAATAACAAGCGCGGGTGCACAACCAGCATGGCCCGGTTTGGCGATGACTCAGCTCTATTCATACAAAATAGACGCGCATGAGCAACGATCGAAACAAATCCGGCCTCGGGAAAACAGTCGGCAGGAGTGCATTTATGCCCACGGCTTTGCATTTGGTCTTTTTTTGTACAGACAGAGCTCCTGTATGTAATAGCACGTATGGCGTGATATTTTTTTGCAAAGACCCAGAAGCCAGCGCCGGACGGGCTTGAATGAGCGATTTCATTCGCTGTCGCCATCAAGGGCCCCCCCCCCAAAAAAAAGCAACACCAATTTGACTATCAATAACACTTTTCCCTTAAAAGGACTTGGAATCGGGCCACAAGTTGCAAAGGCACGGTTTTGGGGAGAATTGCGGCGGGGAACTACTGTGACGTTATCCCTACTGTCTGCGTGACTTTTGGCAGACGTTTATCAAAGCTGTGATAGGTCAAAGAATCTTGGGCGGGGCTAATCGGATCGAAGCAAATGAGTAATTCCAGAGTGTTCAAGTGGTGTTGCTCACGTAGGCAGCGTATCGTAGGCGAAGCCTAATGGGATTGCAAAGTCTGGCAGAATATTTTACTGTTACAAGTGACAGTGTATTAGATTGAAATCAACTAAAGTGAAATAAACTGACACCCTTATCTCCTTTTGCATAGCCAGATATCCATTAGTCTGGTTCCCATACCAATATTCTGACTATTCCTGATGACTCTTAGTTCAGGTAGCCGTCAGTGATATATTGCAATACAAAATAACACCGTCTGATGACTACGGGAGGAATGCCTCCTGATTCCGAAATTGACCGGAGTTTGCCGAATGTATTTCGTCGACAATCTTGGATAGCACCCATGTATTTCCGAGTATAACGTGAGTTTTATTTACCCACCATGCTTATTAAAAGAGTCCGTAATAAATATTAATTACTTGCGTTTGAAAAACTTGAAATTGAAATGACAATCGATGTTGTGCATCAAGTATTCACACGAGGATCGTACGAGGGGCGAGCTTTGCCATGATATTGAAACATTAAAAAAAGTTTGAATCAAAATAACCCGCGTGCTCAAGTGACGTGTCTCCCATATGTATGTATGCATGCATGCAAGTAGGCCCTAAATAAAAAAAAATACTTGAACAGCTCTGAGTTATTTGCAGGGGTCACCGAGAGTGCAATCGTTCTCTGCGTGCATTGTTACCACAGGCGCTCAATAGCTACCGCTTATTGTGGGTCAAAGCCTCTCTGGTTTCGAAATCATGGTAAGTCCCTAATAAACATAATTAGACTGGTTATGTGCAGGATTTAGAGCAGGGGTAGTTTGAGGGGTAACTGCCCCAAGTCAGTCGTTCGTTATCTGTCCCCCTCGCGTCTGGGTAACCGCTCATCCTTGCGCGAGGCTAATAAATAATTTTTAGTGTGATAATGGATGTTAGATGAATCCTGAGATAAATAAGACCAGTCCCCTTGGGTTTCCCTCCAACCCCCAAGTCCACGTACACACATCTTTAACTATGATTAATACCATGGTCGTCGCCAGGATTTTTTTTCTAGAGGGGGGCAAAACTTTTTGGTTCCAAAACATTCTTTTTTTTCTCAATACATTCTCGATTTATCAGTTTTAGAGGGGGTCAGGGACATTTTGCCCCCCCCCCCAACTTATTAAATATACACTACTATGACTTCGCGCCTCTTTTTCTTTTCTTTTTCTTTCTTTTTTTTCTTCTTCCTTTTTTTGCGGCTTTTTTTTTGGGGGGGGGGGGGGGGGCAAGTGCCCCCCTTGCCCCCCTCGCGACGCCTATGATTAATACTCAGTTGCAGTGGCGAAATTTGTGTTTTCTTATTTATTAAGGACCGTTCACAGACTGGCAACAAGTCTAGTAGTACATCATGGCTGCGTGGTGAATCGTCCAAGTCTGTGATCGTTCCCTATATCCATACGTTGCAACATTGTCACTTCCGGGTGGTTTGCTTAAATGTGCATTGATTTGATGCATATTCTATCACTTTATTAGTGTGGGATTGGAAAGTAAAATGAGCATAGCCTATTTGTATCGCACGAACTACGGTTAATTTGGCCCACATTTGCTTTGTTCTTTGCTTGAAAGTTGAATTAACCTGCACGAATCGAGCCTATACTATACGTACATCGAAGAAGAAAGAATCAACCGTTGTCTAATTCTACCTCCATGCACGTACACAGGAACGAGGTCAAAACTATACCATTGCAAAAGACGTTGCGTACATCCGACAAATCATGGGCAGCTGGAATTCAAAAGGTATGTCCTTGAAAACTGCGTCCGTTTTAAAGGCACGTAATGATATTGTGGCAGGGCCAAATTTAACTTGTATTTTTCCAATGTATTTTGTAGTGTTTTAGGATAGGAGTAGATCCCCTGAGAAGATCCAGTGTTTTTATTAGATGTCCCCTACCCTTTCAAAGTAGTGTTTCCCCCTGATTAGCTTTCCCCAGTAACAGTCCACATTGTATGTATATTGTTCCCATGCCATTGGTTCCCCCTGTCTCAAGACCATGTGCCCTGCCACCCTGTAAGACCACAGACCCCTCATGATCAGTAGCAGACCAGCGGCAGTAGAGAGAGGACCGTGCATTATATTTCCTCTCTTTCCCCCTTGATTTTCTTGGGTGCGATTTGCCCTGTGTGAGAGTTTATCTGCTCGAGTTATTGGTGAGTTCTGATATATGTTTTTCTTTGTATTTTCTCATTAAGTGTATTATTAAGTTTTTTAGAAGTTTTGATCTGTTTTGGTATTGTTCAGAGTTTTGACAATCAAGTTTTATTGAATTCCTGAACAGCCTTGTAAGTTGTAGGAATTATCACTTGAAGTTTTAAGATTGGGTTTATTTAGAAATTACTTGAAGAAAGTTAGCTTGTATTATTTGATTTGATTGATCAGGATCGTTAGACATGTTAGAGTTCTGTTATTTTTGAGGAAAACTGTGTTGTCAGAAGTTTGATTTATATTTCATTGACTTAATTTCCGAGGAATGACTTGGATAGATGCATTGCATTGCCTTTTGATTATTAGGTTAATTGTTGATTTGATACTTTCTCTTTTGACATCAGATTTCAGTTTTGGATGGTGTTTTTCTTCATTACCTTTATTGTTTTATTGTGCCAAGAGGAGTGGTTTTCCCACAGACTTCTTACTGATTAGTTTGCCATGTTTATTCATTAGTTAGACTTGTCCAAGCTGTTCGTTTACTGTAGACCTGCATTTCCTTTATTTTGTATTTAGCCACCTGTTCCATTTAGTTATTCTTATCTGCTTTGGACCTGTGGAAGTTTACTGTTCAGGAATGTTGAATTACCTCCTTGGTGATTAGTCCCACCTGGCATTCAGAAGACAGGGACTACTGTTTATCTTGCTCATTATGTATTCACGAGAAATTTTGGTGTTCTTGGCAAGACTGAAAGTGCATTGGTTTTACCTACTTTTATTCAGAAATTTCAACACATTTAGATGGTGTGTAGGCCTTCTCTTCTACAGGATTATGAGCAATTGTGTTGCTTCAAAACAATTGTACAAAAGGAAATGATCCTATGTACCTATAACGATCGGAGTTATAACCGGTATATTTATAGTTTTTCGCTCATGTAATCACCAAAGACGATAATTCACATACACAGGGGAAAGTGAACAGGGAACAGGTGAGTCGTGTAGAAAGCGTGCCTATCCTGACGACTTGAGAAAAGACTACGCTCAGGAAGCCGAGCACAGTGTACAACTTGCAAGCTCAGCCGGGGTAAGTCAATAGTGCCATGACCGGATGGTAATTCAGATTCCTCCGGGCGTATAAATAAGCAAGAAGTGCATTCTGAGTCGACCAACACTGAACTTCAGGTCAGAGTACACTCTAACTCGCTTCCATGGTGTCGAGCATTACGCTCACACCACTACCTGTTCTGTTGAAAGGATAGTAAGCCCTGGGGACATGTTGAATCACATAATTTACCAATTTAGTGGAATGTGTTCGTCACGAGATGCTGTAGCTTTAAACAAATACGAAATATGGTGTGTGTTTTGCCTGTTTGCAACCCAGTGAGCAAGACTAAATTGATTGATTACTTTCGTCAGCTATCTTTGGTGTATGTTTTTGTTACAATGCACAATAACTATGTCTGCCTGTAACCCTCTTGAAAAAAAACCCACTCTCTATACCTCCAAGATGGCTTGAAGGCAAACAATTTATTAAAATGGAATTGCAGAAAGTGACTTTCCATTTCACTCTTCATTCAATATGTTTTCATTTACAGGTGCCTTGCAACAAGAAAACAAAGCACGATGCCCCTGCCGGACAAGACCAAAGGAGTTCCAGTTCATCTGGTTCCCCAAAACAGTCAGGTACAATGGTACATGTTTCTCTCTACCAAGAAATTGTGTCTCATAAGCTTTTTTCCCTGACATTCGTCTCTTCAGCGCCCACTCTTTACCAGTAGCCACATAGTAAAGTAAAGTAAAGTCTGTCCCGAGCCAGTGTACGTGGCCCATCGGGCCGGCGTTTATCCCCAGGTTCAGTAGCATGGAACGACTGAACATATTTCTATTTTCCCTGGATGGGATGCCAGTCCATCGCAGGTTACTCTCCAGCTAATGCCAGTACCCATTTATACTCCTTTAGGCCTATACATACCTTAAGATGAAATAACGCTGATACGCAACGAAATTTTGATATTGGCAAATCTATTTTCAAGTCATGTTTTTCATACTTTTGAATTGAAATGCAGGGAACGAGTGCAGAGAAGCCATCACAAACCAACATCAGGCCGAACCAAGGAGTAGGGCGCGAAAGAGGAGTTCGAAACGATCCAGATTGAGGAGTCCAGAGAGAGATACGTCGACCGAGATACAAGAGCCAGGAGATACTGAAACAATCATTCACTACAAGTGCAACAACTTCTACTTAACCCAAAGCCCTTTGACTTTCGGTGACAGTACAGGAAACGCATTTAACTACGGTGAGAATAGCTGGCTGTGTGGAAGGAGAGTTTTGAGAGTGATTTGATATAAAATAAAAAAAATAATAATAAAACAAAAACACATTGATCAGTTGTGCTTTTGAAACGGGTGATTCCAAATACAGCGCGCAGACAAGAGGTTGTCGGGGATAGTCCATTTGTTTAGGTTTTCGGTCGACAAAAACATGGCCGACTTGCCACGATTTCAGTGATGTCAGCCAAAAACTTTAAGACATCTTTTGATAGATTGGGGCACCGTGAAAGAATTTCGCCGTCTTACAAAAACACCATCTTGATAAAAGGCAACACAAATAACAGATAATCAAATCATAACGCTTACAAAATTACTGGCAGGACAACAAGTACGATTTAAGTGCCCCGCGCCATGGCGAATTTGCCACGGCCTCCCACAATGCACTGCTTAAACAGAAAATGACTCTCCGTCGCAACCTCTTGGTGGCCCACTGTATTAGGAATCGTCCATACTGGCGGTTAAAATTACATGTACATGTATGTTTTTATATTTTGCTGGATCCGCGGGGCCAGTGTATTGTCCTTTGACGGACTGACTGAGTTATTTGCTGAGTCATTGACTGACCGCCTCTCAGAGTCACTGGGACAGTGGTATAAATGTATGACATTCTGACTTAAACTGGAACTTTCGGGTCAAGCTTGTCTCATTATGCCAACACAACTTACCGACTTGGGATAATTCTACCTTTGACCAATGTTTCAATTGTTGTATAGACATGTCAGCTAAACTTTACGGAACAAAAGAAGGGACAAGAGACGATGATCAAACACGAAATTTGCTGGAAACAATTCGAGGCCTGGTGGAAGCCAAGGAGCCGGGAATGACGTCACTGGAAGACATCTGCAGAGAGTGTGATGCGGCGACTGTTGGCGTCGAGAAGGGTTGCGTCAAAGTCACCTTTCGTTTCAAAAGTAAAGATGGCCTCCAGAGATTCTGGGCCAAGTACTCAAGCGGGGAGCTCCAGCAACGTCTGAAGGCGGACTTGCCCATCGAAAAGGTGGAGATGTCGGCAGATGATTACACCAGAGGCTGTGAATTCTTTGAAGGGTCAGGAAGAAGGAAACAACAAGGTAAATGTTTTAGTAATGAACGCCCTTTTGTTGAAAGTGCTACAAGGGATCTGCTTTTTGGAATTTGGTAAACTTGTTTTTATTCCATTTTTTAAAAGGTTCATGCGACGAATTTTTCTGAGGAACACATCAACTTTTTATTGCTCTTAAAATGTATAAAACACGATTTGACACCCCTTTTGTGATAATTTTATTGAATAGTGCACTTCTTTTTTACATACAAGACAACTGAGGGCGCTGTTGCTTTGATGTCATTTTAGGAAGACAGTGTTTAGTTTAGTGATTTTCTGTTCCAAGTTGTGAACCAAACATTTGCTCATTGAAAACATTATTTTTTGGTGAGAAAAGTTTGCTCATTGGCTTAATACTGCCATGTACGTGTAACAATGCACTAACAAAGAAGAGAAAATTTCTGACAGCAAAATCTCTAAACTGTTGGCACTTGTTTTTGTTGCTGAAATAGCTGTAACATTGAGGTTTCTGTTCGGAATGCCATCAAAGTTTTGCTCTTAAATATGGAAACTGGCATTAGCATAAAACAAAATGCAGCAAAATAGCCTTCAGAATGGCAAAAAAAAAGAAAATAGAAAATGATAATAAATGGGACACAACAGTGCTTTTTCAAGCATAGGTGTAACAAATTACGTTGAATGGTCCCATGAAATCCAGCTCGACTGCTGTATTCGGTACAATTTTTTGCTGTCATTTTCACTTATTTTGAATTTCTGCATTCTTTTTCACAGCTCAAATGCATAGCCAACCTGACTCGAGACTCAGTTTGGATTTAGTGCAGAATGCAATAGCCAAATACGTTCGACATCGGGAGAAAACATTAAAAGTTCTCCTTGCCTGGGCACAAGACTATGCAAATCCATGGGCAAAACTGACAAAGGTAAGTATCTAAAAACTCTTCAAGTTACAGCTTAATTTCATTTAAATTGCTACCTTCTATGAAATAACGGTATCATTTGAAAGCGACTACTTTTGTCCATTCTCAATTATTTAATTGGGAACCATGATATACGTTTGATACCTTTGTTTCGCAATTTTGCAATCTCAGATGATGTGATAAGTGCACTTCTTGGACACTAAACGGTTCCGTGCTTTTTCAGACAACTGAAGAGGGAGCTGTTACCGTGATGTCATTTAAGGCACACACTGTTCTGATGGGCAGTGAACTCAAAACGTGTTCATTAAAAAATTTGTGCACAACATGTCTAATTGACATATATTCGAGCAACAATTAATCACTAAAAACTTAAGGGAGAGAGAAAATTACCACAGCCAATAAAACAAACCACTTCTGGCTACCTTTAGTGCTGAAGCAGCGGCTACCCTATAGTTTCTGCATTGAATGAGAACATTCCCATCAGCATACAACCAAAACGGCATCCAAACACCCTCGAAAATGACAGTACAAAGATTGAGAATAACTATTCTGTTAAAACAACGTTTAAGGACTGTGCTCTATTTGATGAGCATAACCCTCCCTCTTTCAGTGACAATCTGTAGTGAGTGACCCTATGGGTCAAAATGTATCAGGTTAGAATGTTAAATATATGTCTGTAAATTGGCATCATATTGGTAAAATTCACAGATTAAAATGGCTGCTACAAAACCTGTACCGGTATTAATTAGCAACCTATCTATCAAACCACTTAGACAGGCTTTGACGGTTACACTGTGAAATCCATAGGGATTTCTGGTAGTTGGTGACCAGCCTGAACAAAACCTATCGAGAGAGGAAGGGGTTAGGTTTTTGATAGTTTGGAGAGTGTATTAGTTACAAGTATAGAAAGATTTTAATTAGTGACCATTTGTGTACAAGTTGTGCGCTTCTCTTTTGTTTTCTTATTCTTATTTTTATATATATTTTTTTGCATTTGTAGGTGATAAGAGCACTCGTTCCTGTTTTGTGGGTTATTTTTTTCCTGATTGAGGTGTTGTCATGGCTGTACCAAAGCGATGAATCTTACCACGAGGAAACGTCCGTCGTAGCTGTCTCCGTGATTTTCGGCGTTGTATCCCAGATAGTGACGTTGTGCATGTTCGATTTGCGTTTGTCACACTTTTATTTACGTTCTACTGTGCTTTGTGTTGTCACAATGGCGTCGGGAGGCTTCTGGGCATTGTCTTTGTCAGTTATGGTAAGATCACAATGACTGGTCAGAATTTATAGTTGCTTCAGATATACAGCCACAAAAGGGCGCTATTAGTTTGAGCATATACACGAGGCTGAAGACTTTAGTAAACTTGCATATAGACCCCATTGATAATACACCCATTTCATAAACTCAGTATAAAAATACTCACAATTCTCCAAGGTGTTTGGAACAAACATCAAATTAAATTTTATGTTATCGCGTTTCATTTTCTCTTCAATTTGTTTGGGGGGTTACGCAATGATTTTGGAAAACAAATTCCAAACAAAGATGATCCGGGCCCTAAAAGTGGTCCTGAAGTCCATTGGCTTTTTGAAATACTAGTGCAGTGCCCGTCTAAAAATGTGCATGTTCGGGAAACGCAAATTGCTTTGCCGCTGGTATAGGTTGCATACTTGCAGAGTTTTGGAGAACTGCTCGTGCAAACAACGCACGCGATTCAATGGTGTTGTTTTCACAGATTGAACGCACACTTACGTCAAAACTTTTGCCAAGTTTGAAGTTCGACCACCTACAATGGTCGCTCAGTCAACTGCAAAAATAATGTGCCCGTGTACATACGAAAACATGGTATGCAGTGCTATTCACCCATTGATCCAGTAGTATTCACCCATACTGGACAATGTATCGCCCTGCAATGCACGTGCGCGTGTCCGTCCTTTTTGCATTGTTAGCGTCATATTGAGCACGCGCGCTTTAGCTTAAACATGACGTAAACAATTGAAAAGAACGGCAGTGCGTGCGGGTGTTATGTTCTAAGCTATATACTGCCACGTTTGCCTCAGAAAATACTGCTTTTTTCAGCTTTTTCGAGAACCGCTGGTCCAAACAACTTCAAACTTTGCACTGCACATTCTGTTGTCCCGAAAAATATACCCGCCGATTTACAACTTCATACGGTGCCCGGTTCTGGAGATAATCGACGGACAGACAGACAGACAGAGATTCCTGGAATTATAGTAAGACTAGTGCAGGGCCAGTCGAAAATGTGCGTGTTCGGAAGGGGCAGTTGAGAACTGCAGCTCGTGCAAACAACGCACATTATTCAATGGTGTGAACGCACACTCGCAAGTTAAACTCACAAAATTTCGTCCGTCCCCCCCCCCCCCGGCACATACAGTGCAGTGATGGTTGCTCAGTTGAGTACAAAATGCATGTGCACGCGTGCATGCCACTCACGTATATGTACGTACGAAGACATGGTGTGCAGTGCTATCGCCCTACAATGTGCCCGTCATTTTTGCAGGGCCCGTCAAAAAAATGCACCTGTGCGTTAGGGGCAATTTCTAAATGCTCATGTCATGCAAACAACGCACACGATTCAATTGTGTTGTTTTCACAGGTTAAACTCACACTCATAGGTTGAGCGCACTTTGTACATGTCCCCAGGCCATCCCCGGCATGGATATTCACAAATACGGCCGTGTAGCTACACACCTACGTGAGTAAGGTTGCTCAATCCACCGCCTACAATAGTGGTTCAATCGACTGCAGAATGCATGTGCCCGTGCAGTCAGGAAACATATGGTACGCATGCTATTCACCCATACTGGACAATGGTATCGCCCTACAATACACGTGCGCGTGCCCGTGTCCTTTTTCCATTGTTGCGTCATATTGAGCACGCGCGCTTTAGCTCAAACATGACGTAAACAATTGAAAAGAACATCAGTGCGCGGAGTTCTAGGCTATATTCTGGCGCGCTAGGTCTCAGAAAATACTGTTGTTTTTGCAGCTTTTTCGAGAACCCCTCGTCCAAACTACTTCAAACTCGGCACTGCACATTCTGTTGTCCCGAACAATGCACCCGCCGATTTTCAACTCCATACGGTGCCCAGTTCTGGAGATAATCGGCGGACAGACAGACAGACGGACAGACAGACAGACAGACAGAGATTCCTTGAATTGTAGTATAGATGATGGCTGCGCTCCATTGCAAAGGAGCGCATTATTTAAGGGCCCAAGTTCATCCACATACACATTAATTACAAGCTTGCAGACCTGTTCACGGCTTCCGGCCTATGCACTAAAACTCTCAAGTTTATCCAACAAAATGCTCAGTATCATAAAGGGTGTGTAAATTGTGATTTGGGCTGCGTAGAAATAAAATCACGATACAAATCAATTTCTTGATAAGTGTATGACTGACAACGTCGCACTTTGTTCAGTGGGCGCTTTTCTTTGGAACCCTGTCCGGGCTGGGGGGGGGGGGTGACAGAGGTTTATTGCAGAGGCTTATTAGTGGATCAAATCCGAATACAGGAAGCAAGTTCCATCCGATGGTTGCATCACGAGTTTGAAAATAGAATATTAGAACGAGGATGATTCATTGGTAGCTAGAATTCGCCCAACACAGTATGACGCCATCCATGATCGTCATATCCCAGAAAGGCTAAAATATGTTTTTACAGCATCAGCTAAAAAAATATATGTCCCATTGAATCGTCTTCCAATATTTAACTGGTAGGTAACTATCAGCACCGTTTTTTTATTTTGGTACGCTTTATTTCTCACAGGATTCGGTAAAGGTTTCTTTGTGCATTGGTGTAATGATCACTCCTGTTATTATGGAAAGGACGGGTCTAAGATATTCAAGTCGTCGGCCAGCACCGGTATGTTTCTCATTTCATTGTTCCGGTAATATTGATATAATTGATATTGAGACATTATTGGCTGCCGGAATTCAACTGCACATACGAATGTAAGCAGAAACGTAAAGATAAGCAGACCAATGTTTGTCAATGTATAACGGCCTCCTTGTCTTTTTATAATAAGACCATAATGGGGCTACGTTTCCATTTAACAGACTCCCAATTTCGTGCGGTCTTCCGTTTTAAAGATATAGCGGGATGTCTGGCAAGATTGTGAAATTAAGTGGGCTTGAAAAAAGGCGTATAATTGATACACATCCTGTTTTGTGCTAGATGTGAGGGAGGCGAAACTGTAGTAACAGTTCAAGTTGCGTCTTTTTGCTAACGTTTTTAGTTTTCTTAATATAGTGGCTTATGCAGTTCAAAGTTGGTAACGGTGTCTTTTTAATTTTCCCAACCATTTCAGGGGGTTGTCGCAGGACTATTTTGCGGGTGCATTCTCGTTGTTGCGTTTTTTGAAAGTGTTACCAAGTCTATGTGTCTACTTGCTATGGTAGCTCTTACGCGTTATTACATTGCCGGGAAGCCTTTTACTGATCCAAAACCCGTGGTGTTACAAGACGTTATGGCTACCTTACATCTGAAAAATGTCTTGGAGACAGTTTATACATTGGAAACTGTGGTCAAAGAAGAGCACCTGCAGTTGCGATGCAGAGAGACACCGGGCTTATTGATCCTGAAATCCACGGTCACAACGAAAAGGCAGAACCCAAATTCTCTGTTCAGCATCGTCGAGCTTCCAGAAGATATTGTAAGTTCGATATCGTCTGCCATACGCATCCTCAAGATACCCAACTCAGAAGTGGTGAAGTTCGTTAAAGACTTTGCTGATAAATTTGAATGTCGTAACAGTGAAAGGGCCATGAAGATTGAATACTACAGGCTGAGAGAGGAGATTGCCATCTCATAACATACATCATATATGAATAGAACATGCAGCTACTTCAATTTCTTTAACTTCTGAAATTAACCTTACGGGCTCCGAACGCGAAGCGAGGGTTTGTTGTTCAGCCCTAACTGCGGCCATTTTGCAAACCCCAGCTTCGGCTTCGGCTCAAGCCTCATCGTCAAACTGCATGATTGAGACCGAGCCGGCGCCGGGTGTTTGGAAAACGGCCCAAGGTAATGTTGGTACCGTCCTAGCTGTTTATTTATGGAGTGGTCCCAACATTGGATAAAACCAACTGGCTGTGAACAGCGCCTCCAATAGTGTCTAGGCCTACTCCCTTCGCTCGTCCCCACCGCTGGTGGGTTAGCCCGTTTAAAGGAACGGTCCATCATTTGTAATATGTGACCCGCTCCGCAAAAATGAGTGTGTGGGAATGAAATAAGCTTTCAATTGGTATATCACGGACCTCTCTAGGACATTTGGTTGCATTGTTGTGCTTGTTTCATTCTGTAAAGTTTTTGCAAAGCTAGAAGTGTCTCAATGGAGAAAAAAGGCTTTGAAAAATGACAAATACACTGTAACTAACCAAGAAAAGCACCAAAGATTCATAATTTTTTTCTTTTTCTTACAATATTTACATTTCTGTGTAAGATATTTGAACTAAAACTATCAAACAACCAACATAAAACAAAAACAAAAAAATCCAAATTTTGAGCAAATTTTTACTGTTTCCATTTCAAAATGGCTAAAGCTTGAATTCAAATTATGCGACATCAGACTCATTTTTGCAGAGCGGGTCACATATGTGCATTTTGCGCGTTTGAGGCAACATACGTGCTCATATTCTAAATAAGGGTGCTGAACAACTAACCTGATGAAGGTTCAGCTCAGCCTTTAGCTGTATATTTCAAGAAAAAACACCATTCCAGGATCACGGTGTGGTATGTATCTAGATGTACCATATTGAAAAAGCCTTCTTTCGTTGATTTCTTCAAAATGACAGCATACCAGATAGAATGATTTCAAAAGGAGTTTAGTCCCTATACTATCTTTCAACCAAGTATGTTTTCAACAATAATAAAATACGTCAGTTACTTTTTGGATAGCTGTAAATTATGGACTGTAGCTTTAACATATTTAGTGAAGGATGGCGCAGCCGCACAGGTCACGGCAGGCCACTCCTGCATATACAAATGTAGAGGGTAAACATGTGTGCAATTACAACTGAAAAAATGCGCTTCATCGAGTAAACAAGAATCGCCCACAGATCCTACACGCAAGGATTAACGACTAGGCCAAACTCTTAGTTAGATTAGTGAAGTGATAATGGCCGGTACTGGTGGCAAATACCATGGAAACTTGTCAACAAAGACCCCTGCATGCGGCGGCTTTCAGATTTGCAGGGCTCTGCGCACGATCTGGTGTCGAAGTCTGTCAAGCAAGCTTATTATATTTTTGAATATTCATGAGTCTATGGTTTTGGTCTTTATTATTAAATTGTGATAACTACATAACTACGCTAACGCCGGGTACAATATCTTTAGCTTTAAAATGAACAATGAACTGTCTCTTTTGTTTTATCGGTTCGGGACTACATCTCTCAAAAACTTTTTAACGAGTTTTGTTCCAGCAACACTGGGTTTACTTTTGGAATACACTTATGTGGGGTTCAGTTTATTACAAACATTATGTCAGAAGTTCTCCAGCAAATCTGCTGCATTATTTTTTTATTATTTACACTCTATTTAATGTTTGTCATGTACACATGACATATGCTAAAAACCCACATCTTGTGGTTTGAGGCCTTGCCTAACTTCCAATTTCAAAACTACAGCACTATAGCTTGTCAAAGCCATACTCTATAATCTCCTGGGTCGGACTGACCCGCAATCTGAATCCAAATCTGCTGATCGGTCCTTTTTCACGTCAAAAATTGACCCCTTTTAGGGGTCATAAATGCCCCCTTTGGAGAGGAAAAAATTACACTTTTCTCGGTTATTGTGACTAGGACATTTGTACTTTTTCACCCGGAAAAGGACTAAGCAGATTTGGATTCAGATTTGTTTTTTTAGATTTGAACTGTTTTATTTATATTGGCAATTAGGTAACACAGCACATGACCCTTTGTTTTATCATTTGGTAGACATCACCACAGTCCCTCTCCCAAACACAATTCATTAAGAAAGACCACTTACAGGCTTACCTTTATAAACCATAGGAATGTCTGAAGTCAGAGTTTGGTGTGATCATTCCAGATATCAACCATTGAATTTGCTATCAAAACCGCCCTAGCAATCTTGATTTGGAAAAACGTGGAAAGGAAAGTGTTTTGTTTAAGAACATTTCAGCTATTTTTATATTAATACATTGATTAGCAGCGAAAAATGTTTGCATGTATATCAATAAAAAGAAAACAAAACCTTAACTCATGCTAATTTGTATGATTCTAACTGAAATAGAGTCATCGGCTCGTCATATGTGGCTGGACGCACTATTGATGTTCACAGAATAAGTATTTCTACTGGTCCTAATTGTAATCTTAACTTTGTCCCTGGCGAGTATTTTGGTTTGATATTTAAAAGAGTTTTGAAACTTTTCGTATTGAAATAGAGGCATGTCGAAAACAATTATTATTATTACTGGTTTATTAAAATCTGTTCATTGCAGCCAAAAGGCTGAATTGTGACACAGATGAACATTTAAAATGAAAACTACATAATTTTGTTTATACAATTAAGGCATTAAATTTAAGTGTTAAGGATAAAACCAATAAACCAACCAACAGTAAGAGAGAGATTTTAAAAGAAAATTACACAGAAAAACAGGACAAGACAAACTTAGCACACAAAAAAACCAAGCACCCCAACAGACAGACCATACAGACAGACAGACACCACGACAGACAAGACAGACAGCACGACAGACAGACAGACCGACAAACAAACAAACAAACAAACAAACAAACACCCCAACACCCCCACAGAACAAGCCAAAACAAAAAACACCCAACCAACTAAACAAACACAAAACAAAAACGAAACCAAAGAGGCAAGAGAGAATCAGTAAAAACACACAACCAGGCATAAAAAGGGTTTTTAAGAAACAAACTCGACCAATTTCACACTTTTGTCATGCCTATGTTTGAACACAAACTATTTGTAAACCATTTCAAAATTAAAACAAATACTTATTGCTACAGTTATACCATTGCAAGCTTTAACTTGATTGGAAAATAACGGCGGTAAATGTTTCGGTGGCGACGCTAGAGCCTCGCAAAAAATGTTGCGGGTATTTTGGGACGCGCTGTATAATGATCATGTAATTCAATTCTATTCAATGAAATGAAATTAAATTTAAACAAAGGGCTGGGCTGTTTTTAATGACGAGATCATCTTAATACGTATAGACAGTGACGAACCAATAATCGTCTTGTTCATAGCCCTGATGATCTCACGATGAAAACCTCTTACTTCACTGGTTACCCTTACATTTGAACATGATCAAGAGTGTTCGCATGCCTCCTGTTAGTACCCTTATGATGTTATCTTAACATTATATTTTTCCGGGAGGGGGGGGGTAGGCACTTTTTCTCAACAGACACTTGTTTGGCATCCATGTTTCCCTTTAATGTAGGCTATTCTAATTATAGCCTGATCCCACCCCTGGGCTGGCCTTCTAATGATTTTGAGGCACCCATAGGAAGGGCTTCTGGCAAAAGGTCTGACGGGCATTCCATTGTCATTGTCATATTACGACAAGCACTTGAAAACATCATGAGGCGTAAAACTATCTTGAAATTACACATGTATAATTTTGTTTGTTTAAGTGATCAACTGTCACCATTTGTTGCTCTATTAGTTGCTTTACTGCACAAAACACAGCCCTGCACTAATTAGCACTACCTTTATTCCTTCTGTTCACAATAGTTACTGGTGAATACATCTTTAATAGATTATCAGTGATAACAAGTTGATAATGTTACAACCCTATTGAAAGATTTTGTGGCTGTCGCGCCAAAAAGTGTAAGTGTTATTTGTAAACGAAGAAATATATAAAGCATTAAAAAAATGCAATGGTAAAATGCCAGTGTATATATTTGATGGCAATTAATCCCGGCGGTTGCCATCCGAAGCAATCTCAAAACCTTGGGTCATGCCCTCATTCTAATTCTCTCCCGGCCTTCTAGGGCCAATATGTTTATTAGGGACCTTCCACGCAAGGTTTCGACATCAGAAGCACAACAATAATCGGGTAGACTCCATCGAGCGCCTAAGGTAACAATGCAAGCAAATTGCACTCTCGGTGACCCCTGCTAGAGCTTTTGTGTATATATTTGTGTACATGACGGTTTCGAAGTTATGAGTGCAAAATTGAATTACAAAGTATTAGACTGTAGTCAGCACCACTTGGCAACTTTTAGTCAGACTGAAACCAAGATAGCAATTTTCTAAGGCTCGATATGCAATAAACGCCAGAGTTTAATTATAAATAGTAAAATTGTGTACAATATGGTTGTATAATTCTTCACATTCGAAGTTTTTAAACCGTCATTGGAATGTGCACTGCAATAATCTTCACGTAAAGAAAAAATTGCCAATACCTCAAAGGAAGTAATATTTTGAGTAATATTTTCGTTTACCCTTCATGTTGGTACCAGTCATGTTGCCAAACCCTTGTGATATAAAACATTTCAACATATGTTGTGGTTACTATTTACTCAAGTGTTTCTCAGAAATATGTAAAACCATTTATGTTTACTCTTATTGTTTATTGGGTGTGTTTTGCTGCTGTTTTCAATTTTGCTAAGGGACAACAATAACAGCAATCAGCAATTCCTCACATTTGAAAAGAATGGTCCTTTTATTGCCCAATGGATTTTCTTTGTACAAAATATATGATTGATGTATGTTTACGCTCACTATTTACAGTGCGACACAACAACACAACAGTTTCTCTGTACATGTTGCATACATGAGGTAATAATAAGGCCTTGGGTGCCGGTGCTGCATCTGCACACAGTAACTGACACTGTGGCTCAAGAGCAATGAACATGTAAACATGGGTAATTAGCATGGGAATGCATGATGATCGAATGTACACCACACCTAACTAGTCTACGATATAAAGAATGCCAAATGTCGCGAGGGGAACTCTCAACATTCAAACTTTCTTCAAAAATGGGGACGAGTTCTGCCAATGCAATACCCACGCCGCCCAAGCCTGAGTACGTTCTTCATCTGCATCAATCCGCACAACGTGCGAGCGCCTACAATGTCATGTTTACCTCATGTACACCTCACACAACGCAAACTTCTGTCCAACTCAGATTAAACAACAACGTACGCGTTTATCACTTTTTTGAAGTTAGGTTCACGGCTACGCATTATTAGGCAAAATTACCTTGTGGGTTGGTATCACAGGTATTTTGTTATTACACAAGCGATGCCTAATATCTCTCGGGGTTTTAATCAGAAATTGTTTAAATAATTACAACATTAATTTACCCAACCACTTTACTCAGCAGGAATACACTATGATGTTTTAAGAGTGTAAATGCCTTCACATGTTATCAATAAATGTTTAAATAATTACACACT